GGGTGGGGGGGTTGAGGTGCTTGGAGAAGGATTGGGTTGGGTGGCACGGTGAGATGCACGCCGGACAATCTTTTCTTTTAATATATATTTATCATGATGAATAGAAGCTTTGCACTGGATTACTCGCAGGATTGCCATCTTTTGTCAGTGGAGCACAGCGCCGTGACCAGTCAGGGTTCAGTCTTCACCTGCCTGCCTCCTGCCTCCTTTGTCCAAAGGGATGAATGTAACCACACTTGGCAGAATTCAGAAGCCACTCGGAACAATGCAGAGACTTTGATTGTTGCCCAACCGTGGAGAAATGGGTTCTGCGGCAACTTTTAACTTATTTATTTTTCCTTCACAGACTTCGGACACTGAACAAACTAATAGACGTGAGCTGTCCCACTTTCCCAACCAGTTCAAAAACAATGAGCTCTCCTTCTTAAACTGCTGTTTTTTTTTTTGCAAACAAGCTGTCTGATTCCTGGCTTAGGCCTGGACCTTTCACATCTGAATTTGAAAGAGAAACCTGTTCTTGTGAGTCTAGGACTTCAAGATGAGTACAATGCCCAAATTGGGGATGACAATGTAGCAGCTTTCTCCAGTTATAGGTGTATGGCAAATTCAGCAAAAACCTACTGAAAGAAAAGCATTACTGTAGCTGGTACTGTGAGCAAATGATCAGTAAACCTAGTTTCAGCGTTAACTTAAGTGCCACCTCCGCTCATTCCAAAACACTTGACGCACACCTATGCCAGTGGGCCTGCCTGCAGTTCATGTAGCTCCTATGCCTCTGAAAGATTCTTCCCTGCCATGTTTGCTCGGATGTATGTTTGCCCCAGAACCTACTGTTGAGTCTTCCTACTCTCCTTACAACAGATTGATCCAAGCTTCAACATTAGGTCCAATCTAAGTTGTAGAACTGCCTTAATACTGCAGCATTATTTATTTTGCTATTTTATTTTTATTATTTTTGGAAAGGGGGGGATTCCTAAACAAGGCCTGGTAACAAATGGTTTGATCTTTAACCTCATCACGGTGGTTGGATTGGAGAAAAAGACCTGGGAGCAGCAACATTTGTTTGCGTGACGAAATGTGCGACTCTAATAATTTTTATTGCTGAAAAGGGGGCACCGACAAACTTCTGCTGTGGAAATACAATCTGCTTTAGTTTTCTACAGATTTGATGAGATGACTTGAGTGTTTAGAGATGTCTTTTTTTTAAATACCAATGTCTTCTGCACATACATTTTCTTAACCCTTATTAAACTACATTTGAGGTTACCCCAGTGCTTATGATGTGCGCCATTTTTTTTTCCCACCCGACAGCCATGTGCATGTTAATCATGAGCTCGGAGTCAGTGCTAGTTTGGGTTGTCCAGTCCTTCAGCCTTGCTAACCACAATCAGCCAGATGGTGTTTAACGCGGGTGATCTGATCTCTGAAATCTCTCCAGTTACAGTGAAGTGAAAAGAAAAGGCCACACACAGACTGCATGCCATAATATCAGGGCAGTTCAGGGTAGAGTAAATGCCAAGGGGAGCTTAACTGTTATATTAGAATTAAAATTTAAAAAGGAAAATACTCCTTAGGTAGCTTCAAAAACTTGGATTAATCCTGTAATCTTTGCAATTCAGGTCTCAAGACCATTTAAGGGACAATTCCGGGTTTATCAAATTTTAAATGTGTTCTATGATCCCTAAAGGGGCGTAGTTCCAGCAGTGGGTATGGGAAGTTTACCCGGAATTACCAGGAATTTTGGTTCTGGAAAACCATACCTGTTCAACTGGTCCTGGATTTGAGGGAGTGGATTCTCTGCTTTAGGGCACGCAATATAGGTGGGATTGTAACTACAGTGAAATTAATTAATTTCTCAGCCACTAGCTTGGAAAGAAACCTGTGGCTGAGAAACCATTTTAACTTCTGTTTTCTGATAAGCATTAATTGCCAGCTGGCAGATTTCTTGGCTTCCTACTGTTTTGTGCAGATTTTCTGCTGTACTTCCTCAGAAATTTGATGATTTGAAACAGCATGTAGGGCTGTGATGTGAGCTGATGTAGACTGTGAAAGCTAATGGACAGGAAAAAAAAGACTAATTTCAACTACAAAATGAAGTCATTACCATTTTTTTTCTTATGTCACTATTTTTTAATTTAGAAATTGATTTTATAAAAAAAACATTGCTGTAAAAAATTGTAACGATTTTTAAATGTCAAAAACCTGGGTGGATATTAGACACTGTGGTCAGTAACTCTTAGAGTCCTGCAGGTTTTACTGTTAGCTTGAAATGGTCAGGTAGAGAGATCTATTGTAGAACACGTTAATGGACATGTTAATGTCTATTATTTAAACAACTGATTGATCCAATTAAGTTATTCAGCACTCAGCTAGACGGTAGATGGGAATAGTGTAGTTCTGTACAGGGCTAGAGTTGCATTCCCCCTGTTCTTGCTACAACTTGCTAAGGGGTGCCCATCCCTCCTCCCACAGAGCTGCAGTCCAGCGGGTCTTATTGGTCACCCCAAAGCCACCAAATTGTAAAAGCTTTCAACATGTGGGTTTTGATCGGTTTAGTCAGTTAATTGATTCAATTAAGTCAGGAATGGCCAACCGTGATCTTTGAGTGCTACATGGTGTTGGGTTTTAAACTTCAGATAATCACTCTACAACTTAAAGCACAAATTACCCCTTTAACTGGTCAAGATGACGGTGTTGCAGGTGTTTAGAAATTGATGTTGATGACTGAAAGGTAAACACTGCAGGTTTTTAGATCACCAGGAGCCGAGTTGGCCACCGCTGCACTAATGGTGGAAACGAGTAAAATTGAGAGATGTTCACGATTTAGAGGATGCTATTGATTTTAATTACTGAAGTTTGCACAATGTTGTGCAATCAGTTCTTTAGTGTTAAATATCTTGGTACCACAAAATAGTTAAATAAGTCTAAGGTCTTTGAAGTGGGTCAATCACTTTGCAATCAGTTGACGTTCCTCAAATGGGGTTTACCACTACGTTAAAAAAGCCTGAATTGCCTGGATACCATTTAGGTCAGGGGTGTCCAGCCCTGCTCCTGGCAGTGAATAGGTCTTGTAGCGTCACCCTGGATCACCTCTTTCTAAAGACTGGGAACCCATCTAAGTTGTTAATCAATTAAGCAAGTAATGTCACTTTTGAGGAACTCTGGTCCCCGAGAGCTTAAATGTATGATTTGTGTTCCAAACTATCTCTGAATCTCCTGCACTTAAGCAGGTCATTGGTCAGGGTTAAAACATTCCCATGGTGGCAACTGATGAAACCTGCTAGATTGTGGCTCTCCAGGACCAGGGCTTGTACAAAAGACTTAGCTTCAATTTTTAGTAAATGTCTTGAGTCTTACTTTACTGTGTACTGGATGTTTTGAGTGATAAAAAAAATCCTTTGCATACGTTTATATACGTCTAATACCAACCCCCCCCTTACACAAACGTTCCTCATCTCCTGTGCGTTGACTGTTGTGGGGGTCGAGGGATCCACCTGGGAGATATGTTGTTGAGACTGGGTTCATTCAGCACTTGAGTAAAGAAAGGGGAATTTGGTCTGGACTGCTTTGAATTTTGCCCATAACATTTGTGAACCTCAAAAACAATTCCAAACAGTCATGTAATAAGCTAATCGAGTTCTTAGAAGCCAATTAACCTTTTTTCCTGTTTAAAATTCAATTAAAAATAACAAGCATTTCCACAACACTGAGACTAAATGTGCAAATTGGGTCTGGTTCCTGGCAGTGACGGGGGGTGGGGCGCAACTAGGTTAGCTTTTCATTGACGGGATGATTGAATTTAGCACCCCAAAATTCAAGGTGTCCACAAAGAACCCAGACCTGGCATCTCCCAGACAGACCCCTCGATCCCAGGGACCAAATACCAGGCTCATTCTGCGGCACTCTTATATTTAGTGGGTAAATAATTTAAGGTGTATAAAGAAAAGTGGTCATTTTATAACGGAATTCCTACGGGGAACGGATGTCGGCGTCAGTCGGCACCTGCTGCAGCCTTCTCCCACTCTCACCCTGCTGGTTCCCTTTTCGATGTTGTTGATTCTATTTTAAGAAAATGTATTTATTTTAAGCGGTAATAATAAAGTATTTATTTAATGAACAAAGCCAGACTGAGGACTCATCTGCTTGTTTGGACGAGGCGTGTGTGGGAGGGGTGCGCTCAATCCACGCCCCCTGGGGAAGGGAGTGATCCCTTTGTGGTTGACTGGCAGGGCCTTGCTCTGAGCTGCTATACTGAAGACACCACTAGCAGCAGAAGACATGAACGGCGCTACTCATCCGGCACCTTTTTCCGGGCAACTTTCAAAACAATCGGGGAGTGTACAAGGCAAGTAAACAAAAGGGATTCACCTTCTTACGACAATAATGAAACAATGAAAGGTAAGGAGATTACTGTAATACAGTGATGAGTTGAAGACTATGTCCAGAAAATGTATTGCAAGGTGCCGACACAAAGCCGCCCTGCTGCTTCCAGGTAGCAGTTAGGGAGATCCAGTACACAGATAAGCTGGATGGCTGATAACCACTGGTAAAAACTACAGGTGGAGGTCATAGTCCCAGCAGAGCTGACAAAGCCCAATGTAGGATTTGGCCAATTACACTGGAGCTTAGTCGAAGAGCACAAAACCACATATTCCAATTCAAAATCGAAGTCAGGTTGCCTGCAACAATTCAGCCTGTGCAAACCTAGTGCCAAAGGTCTTTTAAAATGGGAAAGGCATGCATGCACTTTCCTTTCTGGCCGCTATGGCGAACACTTTCAAGAATGTTTCAGGAAGGCTGGGCTGAGCACTACCCCTCAAAAGCAGCAGTGAAAAGCGGAAGCTGGCTGCACCGGCCAT